AGAAGTTGCATTCGCAGTTGGTGCAGCTTGGGAGAGAAATCTGACCCGCCGTCACGTACGCCTTGAAGTAAAAGGAAAACATCGTTTCAAGAAAAGTGGTTTCCAGCATTCAGAAAAAAAACAAATCTGCCAGTAAGCTCTAAAGCAGGACTAACCAACTTTAGCAACGTTAAGACTTGTGGACTTCAACTCCCACAATTCCCCAGCCAGCCATGCTGGCTGGGGAATTGTGGGAGTTGAAGTCCACAAGTCTTAACGTTGCCAAGTTTGAAGGCCCTTGTTTTAGAGGCTTTATTCATTTGGTTAGGCCAGAAAAAATGAACCACTCGTGTTATGGGTGCAACACTGGGAGCAATTTCGCAAAATCTTCTTCCTCTTCCTCCTCCTCTTCTTTGGTAGTCCGCACTTTCCATCCAGACCCTCAAATTCTGTGATCTGACCCCATTTCAGAACCTGGATACCTTGACGGATGTCCCACATATGGTACAGATATAATTTTATTTTATCAACACAATAATTAATAATAATAATAATAGTAGTAGTAGTAGTAGTAGTAGTAGTAGTAGTAGTAGTAGTAGTAGTAATAATAATAATAATAATAATAATAATAATAATAATAATAATAATAATAAAAAGTTGGAAGGGACCTTGGAGGTCATCAAGTCCAACCCCCTGCTCAGGCAGGAACCCTACATCATTTCAGACAAATGGCTGTCTAGTCTCTTCTTAAAAACCTCCAGTGTTGGAGCATTCACCGCTTCTGGAGGCAGGTTGTTCCGCTGGTTAATTGTTCTGTCAGGAAGTTTCTCCTTAGTTCTAAGTTGCTTCTCTCCTTGACCAGTTTCCATTCGTTGCTTCTCGTCCTGTCTTCAGGCGCCTTGGAAAATAGCTTGACTCCCTCTTCTTTGTGGCAGCCCCTGAGATATTGGAAGACTGCTATCATGTCCCCCCTCATCCTTCTCTTCGTTAAATTAGACATACCCAATTCCAGCAACCGTTCCTTGTATGCTTTAGCCTCCAATCCCCTAATCATTTTTGTTGCTCTTCTCTGTACTCTTTCTAGAGTCTCAACATCTTTTTTACATCGCGGTGACCAAAACTGCATGCAGTATTCCAAGTGTGGCCTTACTAAGGCCTTGTAAAGTGGTATTAATACTTCATGTGATCTTGATTCTCTCCCTCTGTTAATGCAGCCCAGCACTGTGTTGGCCTTTTTGGCAGCTGCAGCACACGGCTGGCTCATATTTAAGTGATTGTCCACTAGGACTCCGAGGTCCCTCTCACAGTCACTACTATTGAGCAAGGTACCCCCTATACTATACCTGTACATTTGGTTTTTCTTGCCTAAATGTAGAACCTTGCTTTTTTCACCATTGAATGTCATTTTGTAACAAAGGTCCAAACATACACCTATATACATATATAAAATAAGTACAGTATCTTATCTAGTTTGTTTGGGGTTTTTGGATGTATCACTTTTGGTCTACCCAGATGCAATTCCCCAAATTTATCTTGGCCTTGAGAAATGGGATTTTGGAGAAGGGAGGGGCAACCCAAATAATTTGGGGAGCTTCGGGACAGTGATGGGGTGGACATCAGCTCTCATGAGCCCCAACTCAGGAGGCTGAGGATTATGGAAGCAGAAGTCCCATAAGGATTTAATGCTGACTTGGATGGAGCTTAAATCAGCCTTGCAATAACTTCTTACCTTTGCTAGAAGCAAGCAGCCTCCCCTGGTGGATTTTTGGTGGAACTGCAGGTAGGGTATCTCCAGCTTTCAGACTGTATTTGAAATGCATTGGCACAATTATTGTTATTTTTAAACAGTCTTAGCTGTCTTTATTTCCTTCTTTAGCTCAGTATACAGAGAGCCACAATGGAACCAGGCTTTTTATTGCTAAGCAAGGTGGTTAAAAACACCCTGCCCAATTTTATGGGTTGTTTTTTTTGCCAGTTGCTAAGTGAAATAATGCAATCCTTAAGTGTCCAAAGGTGCTTTTTCAGAAGGCAACTGGACTTCAATGACTCTCTAAAACAGAGGTCCCCAAGCTTTTGGGCACCAGGGACCAGTTACATGACGAGAGTTTTTTCCGTGGACCGGAGGGGGCGTGGTTTTGTGTGCTGCCTGCATCCCGCGGATGGGGCTTTGCTTGTTTGTGCAGCCCAGTTGCTAGCATGCAACCGCCCGGTACTGATCCACGGACCGGGGATTGGGGATCCCTGCTCTAAAAGAATGTAAATGGCCAGCTGTCTGCAAGGAACGCCACAATCCAGTCAGAACTGAAGAAGCTTCTTGGATGAGAAGTGAAATGTCTGCCAAAGCGAAACAAGAAAATCCAGTTGCCTCCTGAAAAAGCACCTGGATGACTGAGAATCTCCACAGACAGTCCTTACGTGAATTTGGCTTCCCCCGTTGACTTGGCTTGTTGGAAGCCAGCTGGGCAGGTTGCAAATGGCGATCAGACGACCCTGGGATGCTGCATAAATATGTGCCAGTTGCCAACTCACCTGAATGAGGATTGGACAACTGTGGGAAAGCTTTAATGGTCACAATTAAGAGGTCTGGTCACATAAGTTGCTTTTTCCAGGGCCTTTGTAACTATGGACAATCACTAAAGCAATAGTTGTAACTCAAAGACCACCTGTATATCTACTTAATGAAATGGCTAATACTTTCTCCTTTTTTTAAAGCAATTTTTTTTTGTTTACATCTACACCAGAAGCAGAAATCCAATACAACAATACAACAGCTTTTTCCAAGGTGGAACCAGGTAAAGGTGTTTTTTTTTTTGGGGGGGGAAAGGTATGTCAGTCTAAGGATGCACAGCTCAGTCTCCAAATTTAAGCACACCAGATATTTTCTAAGATGCATAAATGTTCCTGTTTTACTCTCCCTTCATTGTCTGTTTTGCAAATTACTTTGCTCTCTCCCCTATTATCATTTTTAAAGCAGCCGCCTCTTTGCTAAATGTACAGGTAGTCCTCGACTTACAACAATCGAGACCCAAGTTTATGTTGCTAAGCAAAAGACAGGTGAGCTTTAAAATCGTTCTTGCCACAGCTGTTAAGTGAATCGTTGCATTTGTTAAGTTAGTAACAACGGTTGTTAAGAGAATCTGGCTTCCCCATTGACTTGGCTTGTCAGAAGGTCGCAAAAGGGGATCACATGATCCGCCGGGACACTGCGACTGTCATAAATGTGAGTCAGTTGCCAGGCGCCTGAATTTTGATCATGTGACCACGGGGAGGCTGCAACGGTCATGAGTGTGAAAAACGGTCATACGTCACTGTTCTGAGTCCCGTGGAATTCAAACGGTCACTAAATGAACGGTTGTAAGCCGAGGACCGCTTGTAATCTTATCCCTGACTTTCAGCATCAAAACGCGGTTGAAAAGAGAGCTTCCTTTTCATTTCAGCGGTTCGCCTAATTAAGGGGTAGACAACCTTGGCCCCTTCATGACTCGCGGACTTCAACTCCCAGAATTCCTGAGCCAGCATGGCTCAGCTTGGAAACCTCTCCCTTTCCCCTCAGCGTGGCTGGCTCAGGAATTCTGGGAGTTGAAGTCCACCAGTCATAAATTTTGTGGCCTAAATCGACTCCACAAAACTGGCAGCCCAATCCATTGTTTATTATTCATCCTTTATTGTTTTTAATATTTCATTTGAAAAGTTTTATAGAAAAAGCATTTTAAAAAAAGCAAAAAAAAAATACATTGTATCAATGGTGCATAAAAACAAGCTGCAGGTATAATATATTATTTACACAATTTCATTGCTTCTATAAATTAAAAAAAAAATGTCCCTGATTGTTATTTACAAGACATATATTAATTATCATTAATAATACTTTGCCCATCAACAAGTCCTTCCAGAGAAGCTACAAATATTTAAAATAATAATAATAACAATAATTAATCTGTTCCCACTCATCCCTCTTTATAACAGCATCCCTTGAGGTAGGTAAGTATTATTTCTGCAGCCTTGTATATAACTTGCTCACTCTTTGCAAGGACAGAAATTGCTTTCGGGTATAAAAATGGGTTATTTTCAAAATATCAGCTCTCCCCCCCTTTAGTTTCAAGCCCTTAAGTTGCAAACATAGTATCTGGAAATGTAGAAATAAAGAGTTCAAAAGCCGAAGGCGTGGCTAGCTGAGCAATATATAACAAGAGTTCACAATACAATCTTTTTTAGTCTCATCATTAACAGAAACTGGATTAGCTGGGGATTCTCAAATTCAACAATACCAGGAACCCAAAAAAGGATAAATTAATTTCTGCAAGGCACTATGAATAAAACAAATGATTTTATTGGGGGATAGAGTGGATTGTAAAAATCATTACTAATCTTTTTTTCCTTCTAATCTTTTTTTCCCCTCTTTTTCCGAAGACTGCCAGAGAAATCTCTGCAGCTTTTTATTTTTGGCAGTGGCTTTGCCAATGCCTCTTTCCTAGGGCTGAGAGAAAGTGCCTGGCCCAAGATCATCCAGCTGACGTTCATAACCACTTCACCCAAACTGCCTCTCAAAATTATTCATCGTGGCTTTCGAATTGTAATCTCAACTTTCGCTGGCCCATTGCTTGCCGAATGCTCCACAGGCAAAGAGAGGTGACAGGCGTCAATGAAGTGTATCAGAACTCAACTTTGCTTGAGCAAAGCCCATCAAGCTAAAAAAAACAAACAAAAAAAAAAAAAAACCCCACAGGTTTTGACCCTCCCTACAAAAGAAGGTTGTCTATCCTAACCCCCCGAGGTTCCTGATCTGCAGTTTTGAGAATCCCTGATTTAGCAACTGGAAGGGGGCAACGAATGAAACAAACATCAACAGTGAATCCCCTCGCCTGCTGATAACAGCAAAAAGTTAGTTATGCTTTTTAAAAATCACAGGACACACCCACGTAATTGAGTCACGATTAGCCAGCTTTTGCAGAAGCCGTAAAATACCTTAAGCAAAGTTGGCTGGGCCCAGAAGCTTGTTGACCTGGTTTTTCTTTCCCTTCTTGGTTCTTTCAGTTTCCACAACCAAACCTTTTCCCATCCTCGTTCCCTCCGCTTTCTGCTCTAACTCTTAGATCCCACTCCCCCTGCTGAGTGCAACATAGAAGAAACCCAGGTCTCCAGTTTTACCCCTACTACGCTGAAGTGCTAAATAATATACAATGCTAATGCTACACTTGTTTGGCACCATAGAAACAAGGCAGTGCCACCCCTCCCCCCCCACAATCTTTTTGGCTTGGGGGGGGGGTTCCGAAGGTGAAGAGGGTAACTCTTGGTGATTCCCCACCTGAGGAGAATAGCCAAGAGTTACTCAACCACCTGAAAGAGAATAAAACAATTGTTTTCTTCCCACGGGTCCCAATGTCAGTGTAAACAAGGCCATATTCTAGGCAGGATTTGAGATGTTGAGGGACCAAGATGTCCACTCAACACGTCTTCAGACTTTGGAGCCCCGTTTGGTAAGGCGTTTCACGAGATTCGGGTTGGGTTTTCTGGGCACAGGTGATTTCGAGGGGACGTCAACGTAGTAGAACGCCAATGGCTGGTAGGTTGGAATGTAGCTGACCACATTTTGAGGGCACGGGACCCACAGAGGGGCTGGAACGTAGAAATACTGGGTAGGCTGGAAGGAGAGAAAGAGAGGAAGTTAACAGGAGGAGAACGCAAGACCCTGAAGCTAGATCTGGAAACTCACAACCCATCAGATCTTCTCACAAAGAAGCAGTGAGCCCTGCCCAGCACACTGGGACAACCTGAATCAAATCAAGCCTAGCATTATAATTAAGATAACACGCTTCAAGGTGAGTGGAGTTCAGCTCCCAGGGTTTCTGTGGAAGTGCCATCAACTCCCACCAAAAGTTGTTTCTTCCAGTTCAGTGTAAAAGCTCTGGAATTTCCCAGTAGTTCATTATCAAAATATTAGCTAGCTAGGTAAACACGGGGTGAGCCAAAGTCAGATCCACGTTCCTGCTAAACCAGTGCTCTCTAAACTTGGCAACTTTTAAGACCTGTAGACTTCGACTCCCAGAATTCCCCAACTAACATGTCCACAAAAGTCTTGGAGACCCTTGAACTAAAACAATATTCCCCTTTTAATCTCAATTTGGATCACGGCTCTTGTGCAGGCTCATGTTCTTGACAACTGTGGCATTGAAGCCCCACAGTGTTCAGAATGTTTTCACCAGGTTTCCCCCAGGATTGCCTACGTGCCACCTTTGAGGCACAAATCCGGTCACCTCCCTCGGACTCAGTTCTCTCCAAGGAATTTGCATTTTATCAACAAAGAGGTTGTAACAGCAGCACGAGGTGGACTTTGCTTTTTAGCTGGATTGCAAGCAAAATGCCCTGAGCTCCTTTGAACATTCAACCAAGGGTGGAGAAAATGTCTTGTTACTGGGAGATAAAAAAAGACTTCAAAATCTTCCCTCCTCCCATTTTTAGATTGCAGAAGCAAATCAAAGGAGCCAACTTTTTTAAAAGCTCAACACAACAACAGACTCCCACCTCCCGGCATTGTCCTTGAGGTCTCTCACCTGTTTGGGACTGTTTTTCCCAGCCGGCCGAGTTTTGCCCAGATTTGTTGTCTTAGAAAACTTGGCCAGACTTTCATCCTCTGAATTCTCGGAGGGGGATTCTGAGTGATAATCTGACGTCTCCGGCTCTGGAGTTGACTTCCCGCTGATGTTCTCCTCTTCCTTCACCGTGAAGTACTGGTTATTCTCACCAAGCCTGGAGGAGCAGAACCGATGAGAAAGTTCAGCCTATTGTCCTAAAATTCAGCAGGTGCTCTGATTTGGGGGTTGGCTGGTTGGCTGGTGAAGGAAGAAATCCTAGCCAGCCACCTCTTTTCTGAGGCCTCCAGGAGAGGAACACAAAGGCCTGCCGCAAAGAAGAGGGAGTCAAAGCTATTCTGCAAAGCACCTGACGGCAGGACAAGAAGCAACGGATGGAAAGTCATCAAGGAGAGAAGCAACCTGGAACTAAGGAGAAATTTCCTAACAGCTGGAACAGCTGGCCTCCAGAAGTTGTGGATGCTCCAACACTGGAGGCTTTTAAGAAGAAACTGGACAGCCACTTGTCTGGAATGGTATAGGGCAGGGGTAGGCAACCTTGGCTCTTTTATGACTTGTGGACTTCAATTCCCAGAATTCCTGAGCCAGCCATGCTAAGGGGAAAGGGAGAGGCTGCCATGCTGAGCCACGCTGGCTCAGGAATTCTGGGAGTTGAAGTCCACCAGTCATAAAAGAGCCAAGGTTGCCTACCCCTGGTATAGGGTCTCCTGCTTAAGGCAGGACAAGAAGCAATGGATGGAAACTCATCAAGGAGAGAAGCAACCTGGAACTAAGGAGAAATTTCCAGACAGAACAATCAGTGAAATGGCTTGCCTCCAGAAATTGTGGGTGCTCCATCACTGGAGATGAAAAAGAGTTAAAATGACCAACGGTCATTTGTCTGAAATGGTATAGGGTTTCCTGCTTATGCAGGGGTTGGACTAGAAGACCTCCAAGGTCCCTTCCAACTCTGCTATTCTGTTCTGTTGGCTATAGTTGAAATGACAGGATGCAGCCCAACATGCTGACCTGCAGCAGACTTCCCCAGGATCAATCCAGATGGAAATTTCCCTGGGCAATGCTAATTCTGAATAATCCAGACCGCAGGCCGTGCACGCCTTTAGGAGGGAATCATCAATGTGGTGCTTCCTATTGATCCGGATGCATCTGGGAAGAAGGAAAGCAAAGAACAATTAACCAGTGGAACAACCTGCCTCCAGAAGTTGTGAATGCTCCAACACTGGAAGTTTTTTAAGAAGGGATTGGACAACCATTTGTCTGAAATGGTAATAGGGAGCTGAAGTCCACAAGTCTTAAAGTTGTCAAGGTTGCAGACCCCTGATATAGGGTTTCCTGCCTGAGCAGGGGGTTGGACTAGAAGACCTCCAAGGTCCCTTCAAATCCTAGTGTTATTGTTGTTGTTGTTTTTGTTGTTGTTGTTGTTGTTGTTGTTGTTGTTGTTGTTATTATTATTATTATTATTATTATTATTATTATTATTATTATTATTATTATTACTATTACTATTATTCAAAAAAGGTTGTTTCAAGGTGGATTTGCGACAGGACCGTAGATTGAAAGGAAAGAACCATATCACAAAACAAATTGATTTTTAAAAACATTCTTTGCATTGTTCATTTTTATTCAGTTGGTTTTTTAAAAAAAAGAATTCACCCTTCCAGAAGAGAATGGCGCCAATAAAGCCACAATCATACCACAGGTGCCATGACACCACTGTGCAAATTTGTGTAATCCTGATGCAGATGGTGTCAAATGCCCATGCTAAGCGTCTGTGGAGATGCTCAGTCATCCAGGTCATGCTTGTCCCAAAGATGGGTTTTTTTTCAGTATTATTGTAACTTTGAACAATCACTAAACAAATGGTTGTAAATCAAGGGCTATCTGCAGGAGCAAGTGCTTTTCCCCCCCTAACTTTTCATCCCACTGCTGGACATTTGGTCACCACGATGTAAAAATGATGTTGAGACTCTAGAAAGAGTACAGAGAAGAGCAACAAAGATGATTAGGGGACTGGAGGCTACAACATATAAGGGACGGTTGCTGGAATTGGGTATGTCTAGTTTAATGAAGAGAAGGACGAGGGGGGGACATGATAGCAGTCTTCCAGTATCTCAGGGGCTGCCACAAAGAAGAGGGAGTCAAGCTATTCTCCAAAGCACCTGAAGGCAGGACAAGAAGCACCGGATGGAAACTAATCAAGGAGAGAAGCAACCTAGAACTAAGGAGGCATTTCCTGACAGTGAGAACAATTAACCAGTGGAACAACCTGCCTCCAGAAGCGGTGAATGCTCCAACACTGGAAGTTTTTAAGAAGAGACTGGACAGCCATTTGTCTGAAATGGTTTAGGGTTTCCTGCCTGAGCAGGGGATTGGACTAGATGACCTCCAAGGTCCCTTCCAATAACAACAACTACTACTTATTATTATTGTTGTTGTTGTTGTTGTTGTTGTTGTTGTTGTTATCATGGCGTATCTGGCTCTCCACTTTTGTTCTTGTTGGGCCGAGAACTTTTGCTGCCTTTTAAGACTCGCTCCTAAAATGTGTAGCTGGGATTTCAAAATAAGGGTCACGTCAATGAAGAGAGGAGGTGCTGATACACAGTTCATTTTGGAATCAAAACACTGCTACTCCCCCCCATTGCTTGGAAGCTCAAGGGCAGCATTGACACCACAAAATCATGTGGATGAAAGCAGAGCCTATCTACTCTGCGCAACGCTCTGCTGCAACAAGTTCCAGGCGGGGCACAGCAAACACAAATTGTGGTGTGACCTGCGTGCTAATAAATCGTCCAAGTAGTCAAACTAGTATGCAAACTGTGCCTATCAGTTACACAAATAGCCTTGAGATGTACAATACAGTTATTTTACAGCTGGCTCTGCAAACAAATTACTGCATTTAAAAAAAAAAAGACAACACTCATTTGTTGCTTCATAGTGTACTTAAAAGGCTGGGGGGGGGGGAAGAAGAGGAGTGGGCTTGTGCTGCAGAACAGGAAGTACCCACACCTGGAGCATGAGTGGCTGATCTCCACCAGTTTTCTTTTTCCTATTTAATCGGGAACTTTTAAAATATCCAAGTTCCTACTACTTATGATTCAAGAAGCAGGCTTAACATTTCACGCACAGGTAATCCTCGACTTACAACCAAGTGCTTAGTGACCGTTCAACGTTATCGTGCCTCCCCACTAAAGTTACTTACACCCCACTTCCAGAGTTCCAACGACTGCACACATACCCACAATCAACATGATTGCCTTTCAGGTGCTTGGCAAGAGGCTCACCTTTTTGGCAGTTGCAAAGCTCCATGATCATGTAACTATAATTTATAACTCCTCCCCACCTTTCTGGCCTTTTCCAGCAAAAAATAAGTTCATTATCTCCTTTGCCTTTCCTTCTTAAGATAATAGGAAACAGGACGCCCTGAAAGATGGATGTAGCCGTAGCTCATCCTGAAGCGGGCTGAAATCACACCACCCAAATTCATCCACATCGCCATCATCTTGGCTAGACTATTCAGAAGAGGTTGTGGGTGCTCCATCGTTGGAGGCTTTTAAGAAGAGACTGGACAGCCATCTGTCTGGAATGGTACAGGGTCTCCTGCTTGAGCAGGGGGTTGGACTAGAAGACCTCCAAGGTCCCTTCCAGCTGTGTTAATTGTGTTATGGTGGGAAGGCCCAGAGTGGTGGTGGTTATCCAGGTTCATCAACAATTCATTTTATGAATTAGATTAGGGTGCTTTTGTAATGCTTGAAACCCTAAGAAGTCCCACCAATGGCTGAGGTCCCCTCTCTAAACTGAGACAATGGATCAGGAGAAAAAAAACCATCCAGTAGATGGACTTTAGGTTGTATCTTCTCAACATAAAGTGTGTTCCCTCACAAATCTAAAGAGAAAGAGGATCAAAGGAACCAAGCAGGCCAGACCTGAACAGGACAATTAACCAGTGGAACAGCTTGACCTTCAGACGTTGTGGGTGCTTCATCACTTGAAGTTTTTAAGAAGAGACTGGACAGCCGTTTGTCTGAAATGATATAGGGTCTCCCGCTTGAGCAGGGGGCTGGACTAGAAGACCTCCAAGGTCCCTTCCAGCTCTATATTCTGATTGATATCTGTTGATCAATGTGGCGAAACTACACCCTTATCCAACTCCTAAGATTTTGTATCTAACCCCTTATCTTGATTATGGCCATGTTTTTCAACCTTGGCTACTTTATGACAGGTGGATTTCAACTCCCAGAATTCCCCAGCCAGCCAGGGGATCCCAGACTTTGCTTGAACGGCCTTGGAGGGAGAAAGCAGTGACATAAATATTATTAAAAATCTATGCTGCTTGTGGAAGCTTATGGGGCTGCTTTTGGAATTTATTTTATTTTATTTTTTTTTTAAAAAAAAAGCCCAAACAGACTCTGAAGACAGCTGCTTGGCTAAACGGAAGTTTCAACATCTTCCTGTCACAACTAGGGTAAATGTAACAAGAAAAAAAAAAAACCAGCAACCACTTCCATTTCCTCCCATTTCAGCACACCACAATCTTGTTGACCGACAAAGGCCGTGAAATCACATTTCATCTTGGCGAAGAGTGTAAACTGAGAAACCTCACTGAAGGCCCCAAATAACTCTTGGTGTTTTCAACACAAGTGTAATAACGCACTTCATAAAGAGAGCCGGTCTGGTGGTGACTAGGCCAGAAGAGAGCCAGTCTGGTGGTGACTAGGCCAGAAGAGAGCCAGTCTGGTGGTGACTAGGCCAGGAGACGGTGAATTCTAGTTCCAGCCTTAGGGATGAAAGCCGGCTGGGCGACTTTGGGGCCGTCCCTCTCTCTAAGCCAGTGTTTCTCAACCTTGGCAACTTTACGATGTGTGGACTTCAACTCCCAGAATTCTCCAGCTAGCGTTGCTAGCTGGAGAATTCTGGGAGTTGAAGTCCACACATCGTAAAGTTGCCAAGGTTGAGAAACACTGCTCTAAGCCCAACCCACCTCACAGGGTTGTTGCTGTGAGGAAAATAGGAGGAGGGAGGAGAATTAGGTATATTTTGTTACCTTGAGTTACTTATAAAAATAATAAAGGCGGGATAAAAACAAATCAAATACCAGCGTTCCTATCTTACGTTGTGGTTTGCAACCTTTTCTGGAGAAAACGGACACACAGGATGATACTGAAGTATATAAAACGCATGACTTAACACCCCTTGGGAAGCTGATATTATCGGATCAAAATTGGCACTCTTTTTACTATTTGGATTTGTTCACCTTTAAAAAAAAAAAAAAAAAAAAGGCCCTTCCACTGTACGCTTTTGGCTTCCCTGACTTCATCATGCAAATCGCAGAAAAATTATTATTTGCAAGGCAGGGGAGAGTCTTCCAATGTTTCTGCCATAAGCAAAAGTTGTATTTCCCCCCAAGGCTGCAATTTGACAAGTTGCCAGCACAATAAATCTAATGTTGTCAAAAGTTAAAAGGGCGGCTGGTTGTTTTGGTGTTTTCTCTCCAAAAAAAAAACAAAAAACCAACACAAAACAAAAAGAGTTTCAGGTCGCCTTGACTTTCAGCTGCGTGCCAAGGTGGAAGAAAAACACGGCTTTAAACTATCCTTTAAAAATATATATATATCACAGGATCTCGGCCATATCTGTTGAATATTTAGGCAGGCCAGAGGCAAACTATGTTAGAGACCCATCGGGAAGCTGCACTGCAAACAATGCGAATTCCCCAGCCAGCTGGGAGTTGATGTCCACCCATCTTCAAGCCATCTAGGTTTAGAACATCAGCAGCCGAGTCCCAAAGGTGCTTTCCAAAAGGCAAACTCGCCCTTCTTGGTTTCTGAAAATGTTCCGCTTCTCGCCCAAGACGCTTCTTCAGTTCTGACTGAACGGTGAGGAAGCTTCTTGAACGAGAAGCGAAACATTTTCAGGGGGAGGGGCAGAAACCCAAGAAAGTCCATTTGCCTTTGGAAAAGCACCTTTGGGACAACCTGGATGATGGACAACCTCCACAGACATCAGGAACAGAGCATGGAAATGTTGCCTACCGGGTCTCAACTTTCCATCTCCTTTCCCCAGTGTTGGATAAACCAGCTTGCTCGCCCCCGGAAGGCGTGCAACAGATCAGAACCTGCAAAGCCCAACCTTCGCTTACCTATACGCCTGTCCTTTCAGCGGGTTATCTGGATACCAATGCTCATTGAATCGCTCGCAGAGTATCTTGGTCAGGCACTCGCCGAAGCGCTCCACTCGGTCTTTCTTCAGCTTCTCGTGACGGTTCACCAACCGGGAGATGAACCGGGTTCCGATTTCAACCTCCTCTTTCATCCTGACGCCTCTGTTGTGTGTCCTGCGGGGGCAACAGCAATTCCATTCAGAGCCCAGCACTCTGCTAAAGGGAGGGAGGGAGGGGAATCCCTGCACGAAGAACCAAGGGGGCTTCAACAGGGACGGGGCGCTCACTGGGTGGGTGAAGCTCCTCGGCGGCTGAGATCTGCTCGACAGGAGCCCGTCCTTTGTTCTGAGGTTGCAACACAGAGGCACCGAAAGGTGAGTCGGAGTTGTGACTCACTCACCAAGGAAGGGGAAGGAGAGAGATTGCAAGGCTGTTACATCAGAGGCTGCAAGCCTGCAGCAACTGGGTCACACGGAGGCCCTCACTCACTCACACGTATACACATCAGCATTCCCCAAAGGAAAACAGTCGCAGGGTCACTCCGAGGCCATCTAGCCCAACCCATCCCAAGTAAAAGTGCGAGCAACATGGCTGGGGCAACACGGTCTGCTCCAGCCTTGGCCTCTGATTTTTTTTTTTTATTATTGAAAAGTTTTATAACAGTTACAATATAAACCCCAAAACCAACCCACCCTAAACCCCCCCTCCCTCCCCCACTTCCCAGAGCTGGATACAGGGTTACAAATATAATAATCATAATCTAACTAACATTAACCAACTATATAAGTAACCAAATCCATAATGCTATCCCTTTAGCATAACTATAAACAAATTAAAAGTAAACATAATAATAAAAACATAAACAAATTAATATCCTAATTATTAAACAATACAATATCCAAATTGTTAAACAATACTAATACTAAAAATAATAATAATATCATATAATTAAAACTAATAAAGATTCCACTATAATGAACTATTAATAATAATAATACTCTTTACTCATAAGCTAAATGGAACTTTTTAGTCCCATATTTATTCTGAATATAATCTATCCATCTTCTCCAAACCGAAATGTATCTTTCTTGTGAATGATCCTTCAAATAAGCAGAAATCTCAGCCTTGGCCTCTGATTTGTGGACACTGTTCCCTACTCACCAGCCACCCTTGCCATAGAGCAGTGTTTCTCAACCTTGACAATTTTAAGGCATGCGGACTTCAACTCCCAGAATTCCACAGCCAGCATTGCTGGCTGTGGAATTCTGGGAGTTGAAGTCCACATGCCTTAAAATTGTCAAGGTTGAGAAACACTGCCATAGAGGCTGCGAGCAATTAAAAACTCTTTTTAGGTTGCATGGACTTTAACACCCAGGATTCCCCAGCCAGCCAACCTTGCTTAAAAGATTGATATCATGATTAAGAGATTGGTATCATGACCACTTTGGGTCCCACTATGTATTTTCCAGGGCTTCTTTTTTTTCTCTATCAATTCCTCAAAGAAAAATGTACGTGTTAGGTTTCATATCCAGCCTTTCTTCACAAAGCTTAGGTATATAAGCACTCCAATTTCCCCCTAACAAGCCTGCAAGGTAGGCACGTCAGAAAGAAACTCAACCAGCCTTAAGTCACCCATGGAACTACCACAGCCAAAAACAACTTTAATGCTTCTCTTCCCGGTCTTGATCCCTCATAACCATCGTACCCTATGAGTTGGGTTCACACAACTTGCTGTGATCCTTAAACCCACTTGCTAAACTCAAACAAACACACAATATTCCAGTATAACGGGGCTGGCATTGGACCAGAAGCGACCAATCCTATTTTAACCTAGTGCGTGCGTGTTGTGTGAACCTGCCAGGGGTTTTCTTTGGTATAAAAATTCTGAGAATTTCAACAAGCCCTTTGACGTAACCGAAAAGCTTCTTGAGAAAGGAGCGTTCGTGAATCAAGTTATAAGGAAGGGGGAAAAAAAGTTAGTGGTGAGTTTTGCCTTCCCCACCAAACCCACAACTTTTCCAAACGAGAAGGGGAAATCACCCCATCAGTCCTTCCCAGGAAGCCTACTCAGTCCAAACGATGCCTCTCCAGATGCTGGCAGAAAACAATGGGAATTAAAGAGTCCCGCACATCTGGATGGGGGGGTCATCTCTCAAAGCTAGGTTAGTGTAGCTAAAGCCACAGCAGCCGGATTGGGATCGTCTGTTAAAGCGAAGTCCAGCCAGATAGGCTGAGCTAACTACAGGTAGTCCTCAACTTACGACGGTTGAGGTTTGCAATCATTCGAAGTTACAATGGACCCCAGAAAAAGATATTATTTAGGCCCAGTTTTGAAGTTCTTACAGTTGCCACCCTCCATCCGTGGACACAGGACTGCGGGTGGGGCACTTGGCAACCGACTCGCATTTAGAACGGTTTGCAGTGTCCAGAGCAGGCACGTGACTTTGATTTACGGTGGTTTTTTGCTGAAAATGGGCATATTTCCAGCTTTAGGCCACAACATCCTACAACTAACCATGGGTTTGCTTAATGACCTCCACACCAAAAAAAGGTCATAATATCAGGTTAGTCACAGTGGGTGACCCACTTTATGACACTTTATACCTGTAATGAGCAGGCTCCATTACGGTCAGAAGGCATGGACTCCTTGTACACAATTTGAAGCTCCTGCCATTTTTCAAAAATGGAACCCCTTAATTGTAACTTAATTGTAATTAATTTAATTAATTTAATATAGCTGCCCACTCCAGTGGCCTCTGGAGAACAAAGAAGAAACTAAACGGTGTGATCTGCATTTCATTCCAGCCTCCATCGCATCCAGGACAATGTGGGTTTTGCATCGTATAGGTAATCCTTGAGTTATAACCATTCGTTTAGTGACCGAAATTGCAACGGGAAAAGTCACTTAGATCATTTGAAGAAGAGAGGATTAAGAAAATGCCAGAATGTGCAGAAACTAAGAGCGATGTTGAAGAACAAAGAAAAGGATTTTTCAACTGCCATACTGCAGTTTACTCTTTTTACAATATCTCTTGCCTTGCCGCCCCCAACTAGGGGCATAGAGCAGGCTCAAGTCGCAACTGCGAAATATTTTTATATCCAAATTTCTTTTTCTGACAAAGAGTAAAGAATTAAATTGGGAGACTAACTGACTAGTATGTATAACTGCCCAGGTTCGAATCCCATAAAGGGTATGGCTAACTGATGAAGGCAAAAAAAGCCAGAAATGGTCCATCTTAGTCTCCCAATTTAATTCTTTAGGCTCTTTTGTGACTCATGGACTTCAACTCCCAGAATTCCTGAGCCAGCATGGCTCAGCTTGGAAACCTCTCCCTTTCCCCTCAGCATGGCTGGCTCAGGAATTCTGGGAGTTGAAGTCCACGAGTCATAAAAGAGACAAGGTTGCCTACCCCTGCCCTTGGGTGACCATCTGACCAGCCAAGTCAATGTGGAGGGCCAGATTCACTTTACAACTGTTTTAGCTAAGTGATTCACCTAACAACGGTGGAAAGGAAGATTGTGAAGATGTGGCAAAGCTCATTTGACAGCTATCCCGTTTAGCAACAGAACTATCGGGCTCCCTTGTGGTCAAGTCAAGGACGAGCTGTGTTTTGGGCAAGTGTGGCTTCACACAGTGTGGCTGAGAGCGTGTCGCCCAGGATCGCACAAAGAAGGAACTGCTGTGCTGCTTGTGCTCAGGCAGACACAAACAGCCGCAGCCCAGATAAGAAGAATACGTCCGGCGGTCTAGTCACAAGACTTTGTGAACAAACTCTGCTCCATTTCCTGGAACGGCCTGTTTGTGTTTCAGCAAAGTCCCTGCTAGCGAAGGAACACAGATACACACCCACAACGGTTGCAACATCAGAGGCAGGGCTCGAGGCAGGCCAGAAAACAAAACAAAGGGAGAAAACTGAGTTATGTGTTTGTCTACAAGCGCCAAGCACATGTGCGAGGTGCACAGATCTTGATATACCTCAGAGCCCAAGCCAGCATTGTGGGCTCGTTTGTACACATACACACCCTTCCCGTAAGCAATGACCTTTCTCCCTGAGATAGCCTGTGCAACACAAGGGATTTACAACTCCCTCATGCAGAAAGTTCACTCCCTGAAGACTTCTAAGAAATGCGAATAACCCAAAATAAGGATAATATTGTTAGGATTGCAACAATACCCCACTTGCCTCACTGCCTCCAAAGCCAGGTTTCATTCCAAGGTATTTTGTAAAATCTGGCAAAAAGATGGTTGGTTCCTGATTTTGCCCTTTACTAGAATCTACGCACATGTCGCTTATTACACGGTTGCCCAACCTAGATGAGTTGGATCTCAACTCCCACCATCCCCAGCCAGGATGTCTAAGCTTACATTAAGCAAGTAACGTAGCAGATGGGCTGAAGAAAAAAAATCAGCTGCAGCCCAATATGGGAAGTCTGGACTGGATCAGGAGAACCTCAAGCCAACATTTCCCACCCATTTGAAAGGAGATGAAAAAAACCACAACTGTCTACCCAGCCTGTGCAGATTTCATGGTATCCAAAGAGAGTTTATTTTTTTTAAAAAATAATTTTATTCCTTTGTTTAGTCTACCCTTTCTACACGGTCCCGGGTAAGCAAAACTATCAATGATTAGCATGGTGATCACTAATGGAACTTCCATGCTCAGCTGCAGTCTACCTCCAAATGACAAAAGAGAAGAGCAACTCAGAAGATTAAAGGCCTGGAGACTTAAAACATATGAAGACCAGTTGCAGGAGCTGGATATGGCTAGTCTAGAGAAAAGAAGGATTAAGAATGACATGATGGCAGTATTCCAGTATTTGAGGGAGTCGATTTGTTTTCCAAGGCAAGACAAGAAACAATGGATGGAAACTAAACAAGGAGAGAAGCAACTTGGAGTTAAGGAGGAGAAACTTCCTGACAGTGAGAACAATTAACCACTTGCCTTCAGAAGTTGTGGGGGCTTCATCACTGGAGGTTTTTAAGAAAAGACTGGAGAGCCACCTGTCTGAAATGGCCCAGGGTCTCCTGCTAGAGCAGGGGGTTGGACTAGAAGACCTCTGAGGTCCCTTCCACTCTATTCTGACGGAAGATTGAAGACAGGTTAAGCATTGCTGCTGAACTCCTTTGTGGCCATCCGAAAAGTATTTCTCTGATAGCCCTTCTAGTCTTAAGCATATGAGCATTATCCATGAGCGTAATAAAGAAAATTCCACAGGAATGACCAGCTATATTAAATAATTATAATAAAAAGCAACCTGGGTGCTTTTTTGGGCTCAATTGTGGTCAAGGACTACCTGTATTAAAGGTATTGGTGCAGCATGTAAGCTGTTCCAAGTAAAGA